AGACAGTACAGACATCTTGTTTTCTCTGCACAAGCTGAGAACAGTACAGAGGGAATTTTATTGTCTAAGTGTCAAAGGAAGCAGAAAGAAGTATCAACATGAGGGCTATGAGAAGTGCAGTAAGAACTAAATCTAAATACAAGTTCTGTGTGGGCTACATAAGAACACAGAACCACACTGATTAATTACAAAAAGACACACATGATACTGTTCTTAAAGAAAGAAACTTTCCATTTCTTAGTTCTGAGCTGTACCGGTGATAAATGGTTTTGGAGCACCTGATCAGTGCTTGGAGTAGAATACTGATGTGCATGGAAGGGGACCACTGGTCCCACTAGCACCATCTCAGCTCTGACCTGGAGGGAAGCTCTGCTCTGCAGAGATTACAGGGGATTCAGTACCCTTCTGGGCCTAAGTTGAGTTGCTCTTGAGCAGACAGGGCCAGAGCACCACTGAAGGAGGGTGGTTGTGATACAAGTAAACACCTGCTCAGAAAACAGATAAAAATATTAAAATCCCTAAGGAGTTTAGCTTGGCTGTAGAGGGACTGTCTCCACTTTGCTCTGGCAGAGCAAACACTGAGCCAGAATAGCACTTGCTTGCTTAGGCTTAGTTACAAATCTGTAACACAGGTCTTAATGTTGACAGGACAACGGTGCAAGACCACTGAAATACGTGCTGTTATTTCAGCCAGACTTGCACACACAGTACGTGTGGGACACAGGGCTCCTCCTGCTTCTATCTACTGCCTGATCATCGGGACCACTTGAAATACTTCACTGAGAAGGAGCAAGTGGCTAAAGCAACCACCAGAAGTGATTAGCCAGAGCCCATCTAATCCAGACTCTTGCCCTTTGGCAACAGGAGCATTCTTCTGTTCATTATGGTTTCTTAAAATTCTACAGTTTTAAGGACAGTCATGTTTCAGTCTATACAACACCACATGTGAGCCTACCTTAAGGGGCAGGCACCTGATTAAGGCTTTCACCTGAAATACTTAAAAAACCCCCAAACATCTTCATGTTAAGCAGATCTGATAACAGCAATACAGCTACTGCATGAACAGAAACTATGCTTCAACCACAGTTCTGGAATAATTTATTCTGGTAGATCGAAACATACTATGCACTGACCCATACAGTGGCACACAGGTAAAATAGTCAACTGAAAAAAAGTACTCCACTCTCAGCTAAAACACTTGCTAACATAGCTTAAATTCCTAGAGACTTACTTAGCCTATCATATCAGTTAAAAAAAGGTTAGTGTATCACAGACTGATGGACACCCAACCCTGCTCTTTAGTATGTGATGTTTGTATCAGAGTGATACTGTAGCAGAAATCCATTCATCCATTAAAAAATTGCAGTTGGCCAGGTATCAAGGGACTTGTCTACATAAAAGTATAAAGAGGAACTCTTATTTTAAGGTTTGCATTACATTTAAAATAGTTTTGCTAGTAGTAGGTCAGCATTTGTTCAAGTCTTTCAAAGCTCACCTCTCTTCACGTACAACATAGGCAGTGTCTATCCATTCCTAGTGTATGAATGCAGTTCCCTTCCACCTACTAAACAGTGAAATTTACACCTCAGAGCTACATGAGCGATCCTATTAATATTTAACATTAAATAATTAATAGGATTCCTCAACATCCATCTTTTTTGTTCTGCAGGCACTAAGGAGTATGAGTTACAGTCTAGTTCCTTATTTTCATTCCTCCTCTGTAGCTGTAAAGACTACAGAAGTGAAGAAGCCTCATCTCCAAACTTTTTTTTCTCCTTATGGTTAAAGGCAGACAGACCAGAAGCCAGAGCAGGTGGATGAGGGAGAAAAGAAGTGGAAGTGCAAACGTTTGTCTTTTGTTGTACCCTCCGGTTTCTTACAGCATAAAACTGGATTGCGCTAACCCTCTGTCACAGGGGGATGCTGTTTTGTTTGTTAGCAAGGAAGCTAAGCTTTGTATTGAAGGGGAGAATTGTTTGGTCGTTTTCCAGTTTCTTGCACCATCTGCTAAACTGGAGATACAGAAACAGTAAGGGCAGGAATTCTACCATGTAGAGCAACATAGTAGACAGCTTTAAATAGTAATCCTAGTAGAGGGCTTATGTCTGCTCCTGTGTCTGTCTTGAGAAGTCATCAACATTAGATACATAAGCAGAATTAAATGCCTCCTAACATACATAATTGTGCAACTAAATCTTGAAAGAGCATATTCTTGTCTGGCTACAGCTGAGGATTAAGAGACCTTGAACTCTACCTGTCATTCATTCATTAAACATCGACTTCCTTTGGTTTTCTAAGCTATTGGCCTCAGTTACATCCTGCAGGAAAGCGCTTAATTAACAGGTCAAGCAAAGCGTTTTGTTGTAAGCCATTCTGCCCTGATGATCTAACACTGCTGAGCACCCCTTTTGCCCTGCTCTCAAGAAAGCATCATTAGCTTGCAGCTGACCCCTCACTTGCCCCATCTGTTTTGAAGTCTTCCTCCCCCCAACACACTTACCCTCCTTTCCATCTAAAAAGGCTGAAGTCTGTCCAGCTGTTGAAAGTGCTCTGTATGAAGCTACTAATTATTCTCAAGAGCTTTCCAGTTGCTCTGAATTAACTAACCAACCAGCCAGCTGAAGTCACAGTGAGGGTGCACCCTAGTTTTATCTAAGTGGCTTTTACAAGTTCCTTTTTTCTGGATTTCATCCACTTAATAAAACCTGGCATTCAGTCTCCCTTGCTGGCTGCTGCTTGTATTTCTCATACGATTCACAGTGGCACCTGAACTTTCAGTCCACTCCATAGCAAACGTTATGCAAAGGCAGGTTGTGGCTTCCAAGTGACCCATGTTAATTACAGGTACCTGCGGTACCTCTACAGCTAACATCATCGTGAGCATCCAGACACTACATATCTTAATTTACAGCCACACAAAATTGACAGGACACATTTGAATGGGTGCTTGGCTTGCTACTGCTGTCTAATTTCAAATTGTTGCATGTAGCTGGAGCGCAAGGGAGGGGACAGGTGTGGCACTGCACTGTGAAACTGGCATCCTCTTCTGAATTAACGTTATCTTGGATCAGCAGCAAGTTCTGCCACCTCACTATGGATTGTCCTGGTCATAAGCATAGCAGTAAAGTACAGACTACAAGGAGAGCTTCGGAGGGCAGACTACAGTGGTATGGATATAGCGCCTTGCAAGTTACATCACAGTTAAGATGTACAATTAGGAACCCATAAGGCCTGAGTTAAGTCGCTTGTGGGTGGTGCTTCAGGGATTAACACTGCTTTAACTAGACAGAAGAGCTGATTTGTTTGGGGATAATGCCACCAGAATAGCACTGCTTATGTGAGGGTGTGGCACAGCAGTACTGCAACAAAAATACCTGGTAGAGCTAAGCTCCATCACATTTCTAACAAGTTCACAGGAAAGAACAAGCCCAGCTCTAACAAAATTAAATATGTAGTATTTCAGAAAGTTTAGCTCGTTGTCAGTGCTGTGATAAAACGAGACTCAGTTTCTCTGAAGGACACTCCCACTCCCAAGCTCAGTTTTTGCATCCCCTAGATTCACACATCCAGATCACTTCAAGGCCATGCTATTCTGACTTCTGGCAACCCCACTGTTTCCAGGCCCTTGGCCTCAAAGAGAGGTCTGACAACACTCCAGAGTTCTGAGAAGCATTACACTGCTTAATCAGTAGTACAACACTCTCTTGGAAAGAAGTGTATGAAGAGTCAAGGCTGTAAGTGGGCAGAAGGGCCCAGCCCAGCCTTTAGGGGAAGGCTAGCGTAAGTGGTGCTGTTAAATACTGCAGCTGTCCAAAGAGGCAGAACACAAGCACCCAGAACACAGCTCTGGGACTGGGGTGGGGAGCTACTTTCAGGAGGCTCCAGGCTGAGCTGTCAGGAAAGCAGCTGCAATCTCCTCAAGCAGGGCTTCCCACCAACAGGTGTGTGTAACTCTAGCACTAATACTACAGTGAGGAAGGAGCAAGACCCTTGTGGAAAGGAGAAATGCTTGTAAAACCTGTTCACGTCATTAAATCCTTCTTGAACTATTTACTCCTAAAACTCGTACCTCAGTGACTGAAGTGCTTTCCACAAGCTTTCACAGTAGCAGTCACTAGAAGTTAACAGAGAGGAAGTTGATGAAGAGATGATTCAAAGTTCAGGCTTCCCACCAGCCCCTGCCTGCCCTTGCCTCCACTGCTGAGATGATTGAGGTCTCTGTGCCTGAATGGTCATATGGCATATCTCATCTGGCAATAGCATAGGCATATCTTGACCCACTCAGCCACAAAAGGACTTACAGCAACAGCTCACCAGCATCACAGTGGGTAGAGAGGATCAACATCCCACTGTCCACTCCCTCAGAGACAATGAAATACTTTGAAATAGGCAGGACTAAACACACAAGATGTGCTTTCTCCAGATGAGAGGCCCTTGTACGATCAGTAAGTCAGGCTGAGCAAATTCAGCCCCGTCTCTCACAAGCAATGCTAAACAAAGTGTTCGTAATGACAAACCCAGGAATTTTTGCACAAGATGTGGGGGCCATCCCATTCCAGCATCACTTCTCCCTCAGCCCTGCAAATCTTGCATGGGTTGAAGACTTCCGTGCAGACAAGGAAGAAGTACTGCTGACAAGATGCTTCATCTACTTGCTGTCAACACAAAAAAAATGATAGCAAGTCTGCTGACCCCACTCACTTCATATTCTTCCTGCAGCAAACTTCCACCAATGTATAGATTTTTTTTTGTTGTTTTTTAAAATACTTGTTTCAGTGAATCAAGATGGACACCTCTCCCAGAAACAGGCAGGTGAATCCTCTGGGACCCATGGGATCCAGCTCTGGGACTGGCCGACTAGTAAGTACCTGGGAAGATCAGTGCTCTGTTCCACTCCCGCTCCCCTGTCCCCTTTGTCAGAATCACTGCAAGTGGATCCAGGTCCCAATTGTGGCCAGCAAGAAGTCTGTGGAGCCAGGCACACAAGGCACAGCTCTCCTTCACACCCGGATCTGGTACCCATTGAGGTCTGGCATGGCTTTGGAATCAGCAGGCTTCTTCTCACCAGATGGCCTGTGAGCAAAGAGGGTAAGAACTATTCAGAAACTGGTTTTTCTCAGTCAGGAGGTGCTGCACGTAGAGGTAGCAGCACAGGAAAAAGTACAGGAAAGCTTCAGACTTATCCTATGCTAGTGAGGGCGGGATTATTCTGCAATCTCCAGTAACTCTCCCAACAACCTGCACAGAAGACGATGCAGGTTAGGAAGAGTAGGAGGTCTACTCTGGTACCCCAGATCAGTTTCAGGAAAATGATCTGACAGCACTGTAATTTTTGGAATCTCTTTGGGCCACAGGTCTGTGAGACACCAGAGCTCAGACTCCTGCATAAGATTAAATACCAGCTACCAAGACAATGTCTTTTCAAGCTGCCTTCCTCCTCCCTGCCAAAACAAAAACAACACAGCTGTCCCCCACTCCCCAAGCAATGATGAACTCAAAGGCACAGACTAGGGCAGAATGCTACTTCAAGTCAGAGAAGTATCCCCTGTTATAAGAATCCCAGTAAGATATCAGAAGGATCCAAAACCAGGCAGCAAAGTGGAGTCTGTAAGAGATGCTTTTAGATAGGTCTCCTGCCCAGCAGCCCCACTTACCGTCGGTCCCCGCGGCTGTTGCGCCGATGGGGGCTGGCCTGACCCCTTTGTGGGGAGGAGACATCTTTCTTTCTATCCTTGGTGGGAGATGGTGGCCCAGTTCCTTTGCCAATCTGCCAGAAATATTAAAGTAAGAGCAACATGAGCAGAAAAACAGTACGGGTAGTAACCAGAAAACACAAAGTCTAACAACAATTAATTAGATGGGAATAAAAGACAAAAAGGCAAGGCAAGTCCATCACAAATGAAAAAGCCAGAAAAAACAAGCTGCAGCTCCAAGGACTGTATACAGCCAAAACGAATCACAACTGCACAAGTGTCCATTAGAAGACCAGCGTGTATACAAAGGAGAAGACCCCCCCAGCCTCTGATTCTCCCTCCACTCCACCACCACCTGGGAGAGCCTCCTGCAACTTCATTCACCCAGCATGTCATCAGCCAGGCAAGACAACAGATGCAGCAGCGAACTACTTCTCCATCCTTGCTACTTACCTTCAGCCTCATATCACGGGCATGTCTCTCAAGCTCTTTCCGAAAGTCTTCCCGGGTTAGCTTGTCTAGATCCAAGATGGAGTGCTTCCACTCAATCTGCTCCACACTGTGTGGGTCATGGGACACACAGTGGCCCAGCTTCACCTTTTTGAGAGTGTGCCAGCAGCGGCGATATGCCTCCTCAAAGTCAAAGATGAGTTCGCTCAGTGTGCGGAAGACTGGTGCTTTGTACATGAGCTCCTCACGTCGGCTGATGCCCAGTGCCCCATAGCGGCCTCCAAAGTTCACCCCCAGCACAATGTGTCGGAAGTAGTTCCCTGAGAAGTGGGTTTTGAAGCTGATGGGGAAACGGTCCAGCGTGGTCATGTTGTTGGTGAGGTAACTGACAGCAGCCACTATTCAGGAAACAAACAGTGATAGAATTTTCTTGACAAGATACTTCCTTTGTTCTCCAAACCCTCCCAGCCTGCTCAGCAGACTGACCACTGATTCAGGCATCACATAGGCAGGGTTTGTTCTCCAGGTTGAGAGTCCAGCTCATTGCAAACTGCCCTACTTTCATCTGGGCCATGGGGAAACCAGACTTGACCTCTTCAAGAAGACAGGCAACAAAAGTTAATTTTGAGGCAGTTTTGTGACACAGAAGTTGCAATGCTATCACCTCAAGTGTACTGTATTCCATAGCTCCCAAGCTGTTAATGCTGTAGTGTTATTCCTCAGTTTGATTTAATCTGTTTTACTAGCTATAATTTCACACACAAACAGAGGAACCTTCAGGACAAAATGCTCATCAGACTGCCCTTCTGAACTGTTCACTTGCCATCTTTGCCTCTCCACATGGCTTTCCCAAAGTGCATCAAGAATCTATAGCCCAAGTGACATAGACTAAGCCTGGAAGATTGCTAGGGAAGATGTGTACTTAGAGATGACACATGTCTAGAATAAAGGTATAGTCTAAGCTGGCAGGCAGCATTGGACATAATAGTAAAGTGACATACACCATAATTAGAAGCTGGGGAGGATCACTAACTTATTTTAATGTGGAACACATGCAGGCAACATTGCAGTAACAGAACAATGTTATCCACAAAGGTCTTCCTGACCTAACTCTAGCTAATTTTTTTGCCCCTCTTTAGATGTTCCTTAGATCCTGCCTTTATCTTTTACTCCTTTGTAGAGTTGTCCAGGGCAGCACCACCCTTCTTGGGGAAGCAGGAGCAGCTCTGAAGAACTAGTTCTGATATTTCAGAGAATTGCTTGGATTTGGATTTTATTGGTGGTTTTTTTTGGGAGAACTGGAGAGGGAAAACAGATGGATTTAGGGCTTGGTGATGATATTATCAGGAGCCTCAAAGCATCATAAGAGAGCAGAGGAGAAAACACAAGGATGGGCAGACATGCATAATTCAAGACGAAAGGATACATTCCCAGGATCACAGCTTCCAGGCATTTTATTGGCAGGGCCTCTTTGGTCATTTCTTTGGCCAGGTCCATCAGCCTGCAGAGTGGGACAAGGGAAAGACGAGGACGGTTAGAGGGCTTGGGCTCTGCAAGTACGGCCAGTTTAGCCCTTTTGGACTATGTATGTAAGGTAGGTTTCCAGGAGAGAAAGCGGCCGACTGAGGACAAGGAACAGAAGAAAATACCTTCTTTAGGAAGATATTAAATCCAAACCAGGTCCCTATCACATGCTGTTGCTGCTTACAAGGAACTCCCTTTAGTGAGTTACAGCAAAGCTGCCTACTAGGACAGCCTCTTTTCTCAGGGATACCAAAGCACTTGGCTCAGTGAGTTCTGGATGGACACCAGTGTGGCCACAAGCAGAAGCCTCAAAGGACCAAGGGCCAGCAATGTTTGCCTCACAAGGTTCAAGGACAGTGAAGCCCTCTTCTCTGGCATCAAGCCTACTCTCTGTTCAACAATACCGTGGAGGAGACATTGCACTGATTAAAACAAGACATTTGGGGTCACATAAGTCTGTGGCCTAGACTATTAGTAAGCCAGCCTTGGGAGACTCTACACATGCTGGCCAAGAGTCAATGACTATCAGGCGCTTATCTCCAGGAACTTAGGGGGCACAGCTCTTCCCAAATCTGCAGGCAGGAGAACTCCCCTTCTCCTTCAAAGTATGAGATACCAAAAGCTTAGTGAGCCTAGATCCTGCAAAGGCACTCACAGGAGCTATGAAGTCAGACCTGTAAAGATACTTGGCTTTTACAAAGCTTGTTTAGGTGAGGACCTAATTTCAGAATCCATCAGAAGTTCATATAGTTATATTCCAATTAGAAGCAGGCAGAATCTGCACATCTTTGAAATACATTTACATTATTTTACTGGATTTACTGATACATGACTACAAAACCTACTCTTGTCCTTGAGAAAGGCCAGACACAGCTCTGCCCAGCCCCAGGCAACAGATAAAAGTCACCTAAAGGAGGACGGAGCTGCAGTACTGAAAGCCCAAGTACCAGACCTTTGCCAGGGGATAGAAGAAAAAGCAAGTGGATGTAGCAAGGTCCAACATCTTAAAGCAAGGATTAAATGCTGTAGGGGCTGCCAGCACTTACCCAGTCAGAGGTCTGCTCTTCTTAATCTCAAAGAATTGTGTCCCAGTGTGATTGTACCTGGAAGCAAAAAGTTAAGGGCTTGGCAGCTTGGAAAGTAGGGTTTGAAGAAAACCTGTCGCAAGAGCTTTGATGTTACTGTTCTCAGAGCAAAGTCATGATCTCACAAATACAACAGCAATGCAAGAAAGTCCCCACGTCCCGCTCCTGCATTTCTCCCACTTAAGAGTCCCTCCTTACTTCCACTGTATTTCCTTATTGTCAGTTCTTCACTATCTCCTCCCCACACACAGGTTTCCACTCCGTTTCCCAGAGGTCCATGCTGACAGCAATGCTCTCCTCAGCTTTGCAGCTAGCAGGGCAGAACAAAGTTTAATAGATCTCTGCCTGCTCCGGTCTGCATAGAACGCATGGAGCATTGAAACATTCATGGTACCTTATTCCAGGACTGACTGGGACCCAATCCAGAGGACAACCACCTTAGATGGGCGAGTGGTGCCAAAAGGTCTGCCTTCTTACCTTGTTTTAGGGGTGCAGCCAGACCTAGCTCTGTATCTCATCAGTGAGATTAGACTGTGCTTGTATGGCACATACCTGCTGTCTAGAACAACAAGGATGGAGAAATCTCATTCCCAGGAGACAGACACGCAGGCAGCTCTGCCTATAAAGGGCAGGATACCACAGGTGCATAAAAGCAGGGTATCTGCCTGTCCTTTAGCCAGCTACAGAGAAGGGTGTTTGAGTAGGATGAGCAGAGAGGCAGTTTTCTTACCACCACAGCTCACCCATGCCTACTCAGTTTGTAGTCCATCTGAGACCCAGCTGTTAAGGTCTCAAGACACGCGTGCTTTTAATGAAATGGCAATGTAAAGCCAGTGACCTAGAAGGGTGTGTAGTGGGGAAAGCACCTTGACAATATGCCCATTTGTTACATGGAATGAACAGGATCAGAAGGCAACGGGCAGAAAAAGAGCAGCAAAACAAACCATCATCCCAAGTCCAGCTTCCTGTTTTCCAGCAGCAAGTTTCAGTTCCCCTCCAGCTGCAACAGAATGAGCTTTTCTGTTCTTCACAGGGAAAGAAAGTCCCCTTCCTCTCTCTTCCTGGGTTATCACACCAGTGACTAGGGTAACAGTAAAGGATACTGAAGCTCCCTGATGTAGCGCTGTACAGCTTCCAGGCGCTCAGGGATGGGGGTGGATGGCTGGAACGCAGGCACACTTGGTATTGGAATCTGAAATGGGGAGCAGAACGTAAATCACTGCTTCCAAACCTCTCCAGCTTCTTGCTGAACTCAGTGGTGCATACAGGGAGTATGTTCCTCTGAAACCAGCCCGTTTTTGCTGCCCAAAATGACCACACCAGAAATGTTCCTGTTTCCACACTGATAACTGGGAGGGGATTCAGAATGAAGCACCGCCACAGAGCTGCAAAAGAAACTGTGTGAAAGGGTCCTGCATCTAGGCAACATTACATTGGAAGAATTAGATAAAATTAACAGATGAGGCAAGATGCGAGACAGGGAAGCTGTCACCCGAGGGAGCTTGGCCTCATTTGAGTATGCAAACTGGAAGGCAAAAAATAAAAGCGAGAGAAGGAGAGAGAGGCAAAAATGGAGAATGAGTTTCCCCAAAGCCTGTGGAGCATGGAACAGTTCTGTAAGCAAGGGTGTAAATGTGCCTCACTGCCTCCTGGCATCTCAGGTGAGTTGGCACTGCCCAGGACACAGGCTTGGCAGCTTCATGACTTCCCCCCCGGTTTGAATTACGTGCTGAGAGAATGACTTCTGAAAGTTCACCATTTGGACTGCTGTCCCATTCTCAGGCCTCGGCTTTATGGGTCCACTCAGATTTTCCTCACTTTGCTCCACAGGGGATAACTGCAGCCTTGTCAGCAGCTGAGAAAACATGTCTGAGGAAAGAGAAGGGTCCTGTCCACAGAATAAATGTAGTGGAGAAGACACAAATTTGGTGTGACTGACAGACTTGGAGAAACAGCCCAGCATTTTCGCTCTGAAGGATAGCTCATGCCTTGCAAACACCCCTCTAATACCAGACTGCAGCTTTTCACAGCAACTTGGGTTTTAGCATTTCAGTTCCTCCTCAGACTTCCCCCAGAGCTGGGCTATCCCCAGCTAAGAAAGAGTGAGTCAGAACCAGATCTTCCCCTGGGCTTTCCACTCCGCTGTGCACAACTGCCTCTGCTGGCCACGGTTTTGTAGCCAGCAGCGCTGCTTAGCCACTCATCACCCTCCACATGTATTTCTGTGGCTAACTCATTTCTCTACCTCCTTCTTCTGCCCTGGGTTGGCACAAGTGACTAGTGAACCAGGTCAGGCACGTGAACGAGCTGAAAGGCGAGCCAGCAAGCATGGGTAGTTTTCAGTCAGATCAGTTCCCTGGGCTGGTTTGCCACACGGTCACACCTTGCTTGCGCCTGTGCAGCACAGCGGCCAGAGACTACTTCACCTGGAGAGAGGGTCTGTTGCTGCCTCTGGAAACTGTAGCCTGTAAGTGTTTTTTAGTCTAGCTCTGAACACCATCAGCAAGTAAACACTGAGCTAAACTCAGTCTCTATCCATTTTCTCTGCCATGTTTTGATCTTTTACTTTTTTTTTTTTTTTTGGAAGACTAAGTAGCACCATTTGGCCACTGGTACTCACTTTCCTATCACCTCTTGGAGGTGCCAACTGCCATCTCCAGTGCCTCATTTCCATACCCTGCCTGGAGCAAGCAGAGGCACCGGCTGGCTCACTTACAGGAGACAGCACAGGAACGGCAGGAGCAGATGTGAAACTGGGTTTGTTCAGCCACAGCAGGAGCGGGGAAGGCTCCAGAGAGTGGCACAGGGATGGAGCCGTCTCTGGAACCGCACAAGCTGAGTCAGTTTGGATGCTGTGAGCTGACACACTGACTCATAGAAAATCATTTCCAGGCAGAAACAATGAAAGAGGTAACAACCAGGACAGGCTGACTATTTAACTTTGTTTCATTTCTTCAGCATGGAGACTTTCATTCTTTTTCAGTGGAGACAGATTAAGTGCATGTTGACAGCATAGGCTAACGATTCTGGGTAGTTACTCCTCCCTTTACTAGTACAGAGCCCCAAATACCCTTTTCCTCAAGGGACTGTGCAACACTGAGGCAGCACAATAGCAACCAGTATAGCAGGGGACTAGTTAATGCAGAAGAGCTCCTGCACCTCAAGTAATTAAACTGATGAAAGTACACCATGCTCTCTCTCTCAGATCTGGGCCTGCAGCCCAGACTGGGCTACAGTTCTTTTTCCATCAGGTCTATAGCATTTTAATGGGGCAATAGAAGCAGGAGAGGAATAAGGCGTCCATCCCTCAATCCCACACTGACAGGATGGGAGACCCTAGTGCTTTGTCTTACCTGGCATCATCCACTGCACATCTCAGAAGGGCTATAAATATTAGGCAGTCTTCACAATCTTCCAGAAAGCAGAGAGGAATTTATTTGTAACATAAAAGATAGGAAATCAGATCTATTTTGCTTTCCCTTTAGTTATTCTGAAAGCTGGAGAGAGAGCTAGGAAAAGAGCCCAGATTTCCCAGAGCACATACCTCTCTGCCAGGCTTAGCAGACTGACTGAACATGTCCTTGGTCCCTCATCACTTGTGTGGAGGGGTTGCATCACCCCACTCCTAGATTCATGCACCCCAGCAGGCTGGCTATATGCATGGGATTGGGAACTGCCTTTAGAAAGGGGATCCCAAGAACAACAGTGATTTCCAAGTACGAAGTGGGCCATGCTGTACATGAGACAAGGCAGATGGGAGTGAGGCACAGATAAAGCTCTACCCTTACCCATATCACAGGGGTGCTTTTTTGGCCAGCCTAGCTTAATAACAGTTTTTTATGGTGCTTATATGTATCCAAGCGCCTCCCTAATCTTCCTTTTGCAAGCAAATGGGAGTAATACCAATCCCAGTTGTTAGCCTGACTAAAGAAACTCGATCCCCCCCCCCCCCCATAAACCCATTAGCTGCAACTATCTCTTCCTGTATTTGCCCTCATAACCACCTCATTTCAAAGCCATCATTTCTTAATGAGGCAAGGACACATCACTTTGTGTATTTCCAGTGTGGACCCATTTGATGGTCCCAGCAGCTCCAAGCAAAGCAACACCCCACCCTGTTGCTAGAAAGGAAACAACCTACAGGAGGGTGGCATGCTGAAGCCACGCATGCATGGCCAAGCAACTATGTCCTGCCACTGTCATGGCTCGCTTGATGACCACTCATCCCAAATCTACTGGAAGGAAACAGAGACCAGAGGAGACCTCTGAGCTTTCACATCCCAGTGAAAGACACAGCCCTGCAGCTGATCTGTGAACTTACTTATAAAGTCTGATCACAGCCTCCTGCAGTCATCATTTTGCGGTATTAAGTTTAGTTTATGGACAACTCTTTTGAAAGTTATTTCCCCCAACACCAGCTACCGTTGAAGGCCAAGAATTTCGGAGTAGGCAAACCACTGTCCAATTCCCAGTGCCTGAAAAGGCCTGTTCACCCTCGAGCACATGGACAGTACCTGGCTTTTCAAAGGAGCTAGCCCTGCAGAGTACACTCATCACTCTAATTCTCATCTGTTGGATCAGCCATTCAAAGAAACTTGATAGCACAGATACGGGTGGTGATGTAAGCAGCCCTCAAAGATAAAAACACATCCCTAAAGGGGAAAAGGAGCTAGGGAAACAGAGCCCATCCATCCTTACTGCTTCCTGCATCCCAGCATCCTCTCAGCTGTATGCCTGGTGAGCTTGGGAATGGGATCTCAGATTGCAGAGCGCTGACTAGAGTTTATAGATCTGGTTTTCAGTGGTGCTGGCAGATGCCAAAAAAAATGGACAGCCCAATTTCACCTGTTATTGCAAGAGCTCATATGACTTGGGGCCCCTAACTGTAACCCTTTGGCACCAAGACTATAAAGTGAGAACGGTGGAAGTACTTCATGTTAAGACCAAACCCAGAGACTGAACACTGTATTTCTCTCCCCTCATGCACTGAACTCTTGTTTGTGAACTTCTTTCTTCCATTTCCCTCACCTCTCCTGGCCAAATCAGCCCTTTTGGTCAGGAAATTAAGTAGTGTGTGCTCAGATTGACTTGAAACATATTTTCAGCCTTCACCCAGGCTCAGGACAAAGTCAGAGCAGAGGAAGGAAATCTGAAAAGGAAGGAAAAGTCTAGTGGGGTTAAAATAGGGTCTGTAATCAGGATTCAAGATTTGTTCTGGTTGCTGACACAGATGCCTATAACTCTTCACTGCACAAAGGATGTTACATCACATGCTTCTCCAGACTTCCTTGTGGAAAGCAGTACGGATTGCCTTTGCACTATAAAATAGCATGTTCTTGCATAGTTCAAATTACCTTCCTAAGGAGGCAAGTCATTGCTAAAAAAGCCTGAGAAGAAAAAATTTCATCTTTTTGTATTGGAATTTCCTCTGTTAGCATGATGGGACTACTCTCATAACCCACCCATGGAATGACACACCAAATGTTTTCAGTGTCTTTTGTTTACAGGATGCCAATGAAAGGGGGAGATTTTTCTCCAGCTGAGGTGCAACACAGATAGCAACAATCACAAGAATTCACATGCAAATGTTTCAGTATGGCACAAGGTTAAGTGAAAGATCACTGGTTCCTCTTTTCGTAGAGTTCTCTGCAGCAAGGCCAGAGCTTGGAAATCGCAACATCTGACCCTACACCAGCAACAAGCTCTGCAACTCCTCTTAGAACTCTTTGGCATCAAGAGTCTCTTTTCTGGCAAACACAGTTCTGGGCAAGAATGCGCTCTGGTGTGGGAGACTGTACCCAAATCTAATTTCTTCTGGTTCACAGAGTCAACTCTGCCCGTCTCGCTTACCCTCCCACCTCAAGTATTCGGAGTCCTCTAAATCTAACGCTCCTCATCTTTTCATCATTTATCCAGCCTTCCTCTTTAGGGCAATCCATTGGCCTCCCAGGGGGCTTGCACATTAGCCATCCGAAGCTTGTTTTCCAGCAAGGCCTCAGAAGAAGGGGATGCTGCTGGCGCGCCAGGGTAGGGCAGAGCAGAGCCCCCGCAGACACCCTCCCGCACTCCGGTTTGGAGCCTGGCTTTGCTTCCTGCAAGAGCACCCTCGGGGGCCCTTTTCCCGCGGGATCGCTCCCGACCCGGGGAGCCCAGCCTCCGAGGGGGGCAGGCGAGCGACCCCTCCCAGTGGCATGCCACCCTTTCCCTTCTCCCCTCCGCCCACCCCGCCGGGGACGGCCCGGCCCGGGCGCTCTCCGCCGGGACCCCACGCCGCACCAGCCCCGGGACGGGGGTCTCACCTTGGGCAGGTCGGCGGCGCCCCGGATCCTCTGCGCCACCCGCTCCCCC